GGTATGAATCGGCACCGCAGGAAAGGGAGTCCGCATTCTGGATTTAGATGGTTCCGGGGCAAGTGTATGGTGGCTTCCCGTGATCAACCCCCTAAGTGCAACCTGGGGTCGCGCCACGTGTTCTCGCCACCATCAAGTTAGGGATCCTCCACTGATAAGAGACTACTAGTTGAAGAAGTTTTCTAACATTGATGAAATGGAAAAAATGATGATTCCCGCTCACCAGAGGGTAGCGTTATATAAATGAAAATTCATGCCCCTTCCTTCCAGTTTTTTCATATACTGTCATGCTTGTAATCAAAGCAGGTGGGCATTATTGGCATGTTGAAGCATAGCAGCAAATGCTGATTAAAAATGTATTCCAACAGCTAGTCAAAAGCACGAATTAAATTGTATTAGATTTGCTTTGACATGGAAGTGTTTAGCGTATAATTTTTTCCTTGAAAAAACCTTATTCAGAAGTAATGTTCGTATCTGTTCATTCTCGAAGCAAGAAAATCTGCTAATGATAGCGAAACGAAAAGTGTGTATTACTTCAGCAACGTTGCACGTTGGTGATGAGATTCGAGAAATTGGTGGTGTCTGCGTCGCAAACCGCTCAATTGAGGCGCTACAGCAAATGCTTAAAGAAGCTCGTGGACAGGTTTGTTAGGCGGATCTTCTTTGAGCACTCTTTCATTTTATATGCTATTTAGTTTTGAGCTCAAGTGGGAAAATTAATATGATTTAGGTAACCTTCAAAATAGTGCCTTCATATCGATCCGCACCACCTCCGTGTGAGATATTCGTTCGAGCTCAATTTGACTACGACCCCTCTAAGGACGATTTGATACCATGTCCCGAAGCGGGTGTCACTTTTAAAACTGGTGATATACTTCAGGTATAATCTTATTCAATCAATATGTTGTGTGTACCTGTGCTGTGCATTAATGATTGCTTAGCTTGTACCGGTTACACCCAGGAAGGTCGTTCAGGATGAGGAACGTTTTTGAAGCAATTTTTCGCATAATACAAATAAATATTAATAAATAAATACGGGTCACTTTTATCGACAAACAAAGTTTTTTTTCATGAGGGGGTTCAGAAATGGAAAGGAAAGAGAGACTGCAGGATTTTTCGTCGTAGAGAACCGAACCGTGAACCACTTCTTACTTCATCTTGGCTTTGCAGTTCAAAAAAACCTGATTTTCCGTCCTTGTGACCGCGTAACATGTCTGAAACAGCTTCAAAGACCACTGAACCGCCCTGAACTACCTCCTTGGTAAATTTGTTGAATAGCCTGTAAATAAGGGCACATTCCACGGTTAGTTCCATTGGGATTTTTTTTTCTGCAAACGAGGTTGTTGGGTGCACCCGCGGAGTTGGTGCTGATTTCTCGACAAAAAGTAAGGATTAGGATCTGTGACTAGTGCACCCCATTGCCCACCAAAACGCGCCCACTGTCACGATGTCTGGGTTTTGCTCTCACCTATGCTCTCCTTTGTCTGTTCGCCTCAGCGCAGTATCTTTAGCGCACATGTCTCCTGTCTTGCGCGTTGTCTGGCTGTGTTTGTCTCGCGGGCTCCCTTGTATCCAAAAGAACCAGAGACCAAAAGATGAGAGATTTGCTCTTTCAGACAAGCACCAACTTTCCAAAATCCATTTTCCGAGAAAATCACGTTCGAACATTTTGTTCCCATAGGTTTTTGAGCAGCACATGCGAGTTTTTGAGCTTTCAGCAATAATAACTTCCTTCAAAGAACTTGTTGGGGAGGGGCGAAGACATTTTTGAAGACTACGAGATTTCTGCTTTCTTATGTGTTTTACCGTTGTCTGGAAGAATCGTCCTCAGAAAATTAGGTCCCGAAGAACTTTAATTTCAGCCCCGAGAAGTCAAACCTTTCATAGGGATGCATTCAACTGTTCTTATATTCCTCAAGGAAAACACCGTAATTTGCCTAAAACTGTCTCTCTGTGCATAATTAATCGAATCTAATGCGGTCTGCACAAACAATTCTTGCCCTCGGATACGCCACGCACGCGCCTGTGGCTGGCAGTCCTCGAAATTGCGACCCCCTTCCGACCAAAATGCGACCCCTTCGTTCGAACAGTTCGAACGGACGGTTGACCCTGCCACGAGTCACTTTCAATAGTTCTCGATCCTTAAATTTGTTCAGAAAAAGGTTCCATTGGAAAGCATATTCAAGATCAGTGTCAAAAACACATCTTGGTACATTTCGTTACAAATGGCCACTTCAACTGGCGTCCTTCCCTTGTCAATGAAAACTTAACATGAAACATTTTTGGTCTATGGAGCGGGTAGTCATTTCTCCACTTGAACAACAACAGCAACAGTTAGATAAAAAATGGATTTGAGGAGTCATAATATTACTAGAGCCTAGTTAAAGTCTAGTGACGCTACCCTAAATCAGCACATGAGCTGAAATGGCGCTAG